AGTCCATTATCTTTCCAAACCGAGAGTTCATTTCGTATAAGTCTAGTGTGTTTTTCAATTAACATTTTAAACTGACATTAAGTTTATTATATACATGAGATAATAGATTAGATAAGAGTAATAAAGACTTATTCATATTAAGGGTATACCTCTGGGCCATCGGGTGTCATCACTGGTGACCAAATCAGTGCCCGCATACAGATTGCGGGCCAACTCGTCGGTGGTGTCCGACAGTGGGTACCGACCGGACATACCACTGATCACTATATCCATGTCCGACATATTATTAAATATTTCTATACTATTGTTATTTCCCAAATACTGGCATTAAAGGTTAATATCAAAATGATTATAAGTTAACTTATTTATTTATAAATGGTTTTGATTAATATAGTTTTTAAAAGTTTATATACTTTGAATAATTAATTAATGTAAACGTGTGATATGTAAAGGTGTAAAATTAGAAATATATTAAATAAAATTATAAATATTAATACAATCAAATTAATTTATAAATGCATAATTTTAAATATATTTTAAATTAATTAATTATGGGTAATTAATAAAAATTTAAAATTGTTTGCAAAAATTTAGTTTGATCGTATTTTAATCAGGAAATCGATAAAGTAAATAAAATTTTTAGGATATTAAAAATGAGTCGGGAAATTCCCATACAGGTTAAAAGTCATTAAACATTCATCAACGATAATAATCTCAACATTTGACATTCACAAATTAATTTATTATTTATTGGCTTAGATGGAATTTTAAATCATTTTATATGAATATTATATTAAATAATAAAAAATAATTTCATTAAATCGTAAATTAAAATGCGTTGAGTTATGTATATTGTTTTGATTAACTTTTCCAAGAATTAATGCACATATTTTTATTAAGCTTGCGAAAATTATTATTGTTTCATATTATTTTAATAACTTTATATCCAATTAGAATTAGTATATTTATTGATTAATAAAATAATTTTTAACATTTAGTTAATATAAATTTTAAATTTCTTAAAGGAATTTAATGCTTTTTATGATTAAATGTGACTATAAACTTTATTTATTAAAATTTATTTATTATTCATATGATTTTATTACCCATGATTTTGGAAAATATTTCAATTAAATTATAAAAATATATAAATTTTTAGTTTCGATATTAAATTTATTTTCTTAAATTTACTGCATATTACTAAAAATATTAATAATTGTTTAATTGGTCACTTTGTTTTTTTGGGAACTTACATTATTATTTTATAAAAATAATTACAATTAATGAATTCGTGTTTTGTATAGCTTTATTGTTTTATTTTAAAGTGAATACAAAAACATGTAATTTTTTTAATTTATAAATTTGTTTAAAAATTAAAGTTTAACAAATTAGTTGTAATTGTTGTAGACTTGATTAATTAATTACATTTAAGTTTATCATAAGATGTTTATAAATTTATAAAAAATATAACACGAAAATTTATTTTAAAAAATAATCTAATATTATATAATGTTATCATATAATTTTTAATTTATTTCAAAGATTATATTTGCAATATTTTTTATGTTTGGTCAAATATATTATAGTTGCTAATACCGTTTAATAGTAATTTTTATTTTAATATTATAGTAAAATATAAATTTTATCAAATGCCATTTAATTACCCTTAAAGGTATATAAAATTACTTTGACAGTAACTAATTAATTATACATTAACAAATACACAATCAATTCTAATTATTATTAAATACAAGTTGTTTGACTACTTGTTTTATATAGACAAGTAGTTTAATTTATCTGATTTTTAGTCATTTAAATTATTTTATCTATTAACTTCTATATTTTACTGTCCTAGAAATGTCTATTAATTATCAAAATATATCGTATTATTGACACCCTTAACATTTTTACTATGAAATTTACTAATAAACATACATGTTGCATATATTTTAAATGTTATTAATCATGCTAAAATAATTATATCGGTAATTAGTTTAAAGGTTTATTATTAAAAATATTAATTTCTATAGAAATTGTTTATTTATTAATTTACACTCTAGTTCCGATTAAATGCCATAATAATTACCAGTATTAAACTTATTTTATGAAAACTTATTAATATTTATGTTGGCATTGAAATCATTTTTTAAAACTTTATTATCAACTCAATCTTCGGAGAATAAATTTATTTAATTATATATTTGGATGAAATATCAAAATTTTTACAGAAATTAAATTAATTTATTAATTTATAAATTATTTCTTTACACAAAAACTTTTATTTGTTTAACTATATTTGATGATATATTAAGTGAATATTTTAATTTGTAATAAATATTCTTTAGGAATTAATTTTATAATGAGTAATATGGCTTATATTAATTGTTCCAGGTAAATGAATTTTAATTTTCATATATACTGCATCAATAAAATAATTATTTAGTTAATTGAAACAATATGTTTTCCGTCTATTTTTATATAATATTTTACATAAATAGTTTAAAGTGAAATGAACAACAAGACCTTATAAGGCATTATAATGCAATATGATTTTATTTGTATATTTTTAACAATGTTCAAAATAATTATTAAGTAGTTAAAATTATTTTTTTAACCAACTTATAATTCATGTGTTGATGGTAATATTCAAATGAAAATAATAAACGTGTAACCAGTTAAAAATGAATTTTAGAATTTTATATTTTTAAATATTATTTTAATTTTATATAATAACGTATATTTCCTGAACCTTTTCCGCAACTATTTTAATATACATTAATTTCATAGTGTTTAATGTATTCATAATACTTTATAATAAAACTTATAATGATCTCATAAATTATTATTAGTTAAATAATATGATACAGGTACTTCTATGTTAAGTTATACCGGTATAAAAAAAATTATTATTATAATAAAAAACTACTCCATCATCTAAACTTCATATTATAATGTATAAACTAATTTAAAACTCGTAAACAATGTTTGCAGACTTTATGATAAGATTGTGGGAAAAATTATTCAAATAAATTATAATTAGATTCAATTACATCGTGTTTATTTACTAAGTATTTATGTTTGAAAAAGTATAAATAGCTGTCAATAATAATTATTAGTATTGTTACGTTACCTTAAATTATCTAAATTGATTTATCACACAAATCTGTCATATTTATAATATTGTTTATTTTACAATTGTCATGTATTCAATATAAAATGACAAGGTAATACTTTTTAGGCTATTTAGGGGATTTTATAAAACTAATTGTATGATCGTATTAATACATTTAATAATTATATATTTAGTGATAACCAAGAAATTTCGTATTCATATGCTTATGGATCTGGTTACGATTGGGTCGGGTTGCAATATGTCCGGTTTATTGATTTACTCAGCAATCGTCTTGAATACGGTTTGTAAATATAGTTTTTCTTAATAACAACTAATATTTATAATTGTATTATAGTAAGTCATTTCAATTTAATCAGGCATATAATTTTTATTATAGATTCAAATAAAACGGCACTTATTAGCGAATACGAGAATATAATCAAAACATATGCCGATCTGAATGTTGATGTAAACAAGCTTGTTAATAAGTTATATGGCCTAGGTATGATATAAATATAATATTTTCAATGTACTATAAAAATTGTAAATATTTTAAGGTTTAAAACGTGGTGATGTTGTAGGCGTGTGGAGTTGTAATTCATATAACTGGGTACTTTTACTAGTATATTTATTACATTTATTAATTTTTTAATATGGTATTTATTAGGTTCCAATAGTTTATGCCTGCTCAAAGCTTGGTATAGTGCTATGCACAATAAATCCAGGTTACCAGGCTGATGAGCTGGATTATGTGTTACGAAAAGCACAGATCACTACCCTTTTTATGCCAGGATTATACTCTTTGCAACAAATAGTTAATAATTTTCCGGAGGTCTTAATGAATGTACTAAATTGCAAACAAAGTGTAAGTATTTATAATAAAAATATGAAAATAGCATTTATAATATGTATTTATAATATGTATTTATATATTATAGATTGACCAAGATAAAATACTATTAAAACATGTGATTATTATGAACGGAGAAACGTTTTCTGTGAATAATGATTTATATAGTATTACTACACATTTAATGTATGAGCAAGCTACTAATGGTATGATTATTCCGGAATCTGTTTTTGAATCAGTCACCCCTGAAGACCCGGCTGTTATTATGTTTACATCGGTTAGACTATTAATTATTATTTTTAAAAAATAATTTAATAAGTTTAATTTTTATGATATAAATAGGGCACGACTGGTAAGCCAAAAGGTGCTTGCTTAACACAATTTTCTTTGGGTACGTTAAAATGCATTTTGTAAAACTTGAATTATTAATTACAATTATTAATATAAAGCTAATAACTCGCTAATACATAAGTGTACATTTGACGTGGATAAGAGTAATGATAAAATATTATGTTGCCCGGTACCATTTTTCCACGTAATTGGTGTGCACGCAATATTGGGAATGTGCGCTTTCCCATTTACCCTTGGTAATTTTTCAAAAATAAAATTAACGAGTATGAAACCATTTTAAACTGCTTTTTGTAGTTATATCGGACTGCAAGTACAGTACCAGGCAACTCGTGCATACTATGTATAAACATGGTTGCACAAATATATTTACCATTCCCACGATTATATTCGAATATGAAACCATTTTAAACTGCTTTTTGTAGTTATATCGGACTGCAAGTACAGTACCAGGCAACTCGTGCATACTATGTATAAACATGGTTGCACAAATATATTTACCATTCCCACGATTATATTCGACATATTAAATTACCTTGAGCAACATCATAATGGGATCAACTTAAACAGTCTAAAAGGGATGGTAATGTCGGGCACCTTTGTGTCCAAAGAATTGACCTACCGTATTTCTACTCTACTACCCTCCTGTTTGGATATACGTGTTGCGTATGGTACTACTGAAACAGGTAATCATAATAAAAACTTTGTTATAAATTAAATTATAATTAATTGTTGAAAACATAAATATGGTTCAGTATCAGGGCATAGAATTTTACAAAGTTTTCGTATTGAACACTGACTAGTGAGGCATATTTTTTTATAATGCATTAGGGTACACAACGTTTTCACACCAATCAGATAATATAAAACGACGTTTAGAAACCATTGGTGAGTTAGTGTACAATTTTGTAATTAACATCATTATGAACTTTTAAACTTTTTAAATATTATTCACATTTTTTTATAGGAAAACCGGGTGCTGGAATTGAGATTAAAATAATCAACACTAAAACTGGTTATATTAATCGTAGTGGCCAACCAGGTAATGTTAACAATTTAAATATAAGAAATACGACATGATAAATAATTTATATGATCAGGTGAATTACTAGCACGTGGACACAGCCGTATGATTGGGTACTGGAGGGATGACGTTAAGACCCGGGAGGTCATTGATGAATGTGGTTGGTATAGAACAGGGTCAGTGCAAAATCTATAAATTAATAATCTAACGTAACAAGGGTTATTTTAGAAACCAATTTTGTTTCAAAATATAAATAGTTTATAATTTTGTGGTTCAATACTGTAATTGATATTTAGTGACCTTGTTGTGATGGATAGCCAAGGTTATATGAAAATCATTGGCAGAATAAAGGATATCATAGTGAGGGCGGGTGAAAATATATACCCCCAGGAGGTGGAGGATGTTTTGGACAAAAATCCAGCCATTTTAAAAGCTTATGTAAGCTTGCTTATTTAAGATGTTAATTAAAAATATTAATATTACAACATAATATAAATATAATTTAATTTGCATTGTACTTTAATAAAAAAAACTTGTGCATATAATTTGTAATATAAATATAAATATAATTTGTAATATAAATATAAATATAAATTGTATTATATTTAATATCCACTCAATGGACGGACAGGTATGCGGAGTTCCTGACGATAGGATGGGCGAGGAGGTATGCGCGTGGATTAAGCTCAACGATAACCCGGGTGATAAACTTAATGATCAGGAGGTGAAACAGTATTGCAAACAACGGGTATATTAACAACAAAAATTATTAAAATGAAAAATTAACATAGTGATTGTAATGTATTATCCGAATACGAGTACAGATGGCAAAATACAAAGTGCCCAGGTACATCATGTTCGTGGGGCAGTTCCCGTGCACTCCGGCCGGTAAAGTGAAAAAGTATTCGATGAGTGAACAGTCGTGCCTTATGTTGGGTCTCACGGATGTTAACAACAATTTGGAGGTCCTTTAAATTGATGATTGGGGTGCCTTGCTTATATGATATTTACATATATTTAGTGAACAACTTTATATAATGTACGCTAAACTTAATGTTATAATTACAAACACATTTTTTATTATATTATTAATGCTTATTAGCGTATTGTAACCAAATAAACACACTGCTATTGATACTAGCACTTTGTAGTTAATACTTAGAATAAAAGCATTATTGAGTGTTATTTAGAATATACCTATTAAGATTTTATTAAATTACATTAAATTAAATTTTTATTTAATTATAAAGAGCACAAATTTTTCATTTAAAAACAATTGTCTTTACTTTTGACTGATTTGTGTTTCAAAGTCATCAATAGTTTCATATTTACGTAACGGGAAGAGAGAGTGTGTCGTGTTTAGGACGGCCAAACATCCGGGTTTCACCGGAAGTTTCTCGGAATTGGGGGATGTCTCCTGTTTCCCGGTAGTGTCTTGCAGTGTCCCGGAACTGTCTAACTTGAGATTGATTTCTCTCCAGCAATAATTCAGACCTTTATTTACAAATTAAAGCTCCAAGCATATAAACTCTAGGCATGAATACATGGGAGGTATACGGATTGTTGAGAACGTTTGCAAACACAGCACAATGTTTTTCAATGAGAAAACACTGGAAAGTATTTTGAATGATAGGTCCACTTTAGACCCGAAAATATCAGCCATTACTTCAAATACTTGTGTTTTTTGGTACCAATCGGTAGATCATTTATCCCTGAACACAATTGATATCAATATTATTATATTTTTCATTACAGTTTAATAAACATTTTAAAATAATAAATGGGGGAAAAACAAAGTGGGAGGCTTTTGTAAACGTCTAGACAGTTAAAAATGAATTTTAGAATTTTACAATATTCAATATTATTCTAATTATATATAATAATATATATTTCCTGACACTTTTCCGCAATTATTTTAATATTTTAAAATATGTTTAATATTAATATTATTATATAATATACATTAATTTCATAATAATTAATGTAAATTATAACTCTATAAAACTTATAATAATCTCTTAAATTATAATTATCATAGTTAAATAATATGATACAGGTTCTTCTATGTTAAGTTATATAAAAATATAATAATAATAAAATATTACATCACCTAAACTTTATATTATTATACATAAAATAAATTAAAATTCGTAAATAATTTTTGCAAATTTTATTATAAATTTGTGGAAAAGGTTATTCAAATAAATTATAATTAGATATAATGAATGATGCTTATTTACTAAGTATTTGTGTTGAAAACATATAAATAGCTATAAATTCACAATCAAATAATTATTAGTAGTATTGTTACGTTACTTTACATTATCTAAATTGAATGTCTGATAAACGGGTGGCCATCATAGGGGCCGGTATGTCAGGGATGGCGGCGTGGAAGGCATGCCAGGAACAAGGTATAGGAGCCGTGGTGTATGAAAAGACTGATGACATATGCGGGCTATGGAGGTACAGGGATGAGGTGGTTGAGGGCAACCCATCACTCATGAGGTCGACTACACTGAACACCAGTAAAGAGATGAGTGCCTTATCCGACTTCCCTGTGCCCAAACATTTCCCTAATTTTATGCACCACTCGGTTATGGTATTAAATAATTTTATTTTTTATATTAAAATTTATATTATTATATTCATATATAATATGGTATAATGTTAAAAATGTCTGACTTGATAAATAATACTGTGTTTTACTTAGAAATTTAACTTGCTCACTGTTCACATTTATAAATTTGTCTAAATTTTTAAAAACTGATTATATTTATAGCGACAATATTTGACATCATATGCCGAGAAGTTTGGTTTCATAGAAAACGTGAAACTTAAACACGAGTTAATACACTGCGTGCCAAACGATGACTACGATAGCACCGGTAGGTGGATGTTAACGGTCCGGGACATAGAAATGAGTCGCGTGTTGACTGAAGTATTTGATGGCGTTATGGTGTGCACCGGGACCTACCAGAAGCCAATAATACCCGAGTTTGCAAATCAACATTTATTTAAAGGACAGGTATTACACTCGACTGAGTACAGGGAGCCGCGTGACTTTTATGGCAAACGGGTATTGGTAGTAGGGGTGGGCAGTTCGGGCACTGATATTGCCGTCGAGGTGTCCAACGTGTGCACTAATGTGAGTATATTTCTATAAAATTATTTTATAAATACATTAATGAATTAATTTAAACAAATGACATTCAATAATAAATTCAATAAAATCCTAGAAAACATGTTTAGTTTAATGTACTTTGATCAATAAGGTATACCTGTCCAGTCGCAGTGGGTGTTGGCTTTACAAAAGGGTGGGCCCTTATGGACTACCACTTGATATATTCGGATTCCGGCGTTATCTGGCCTGGATGTTTGACGGGCCCGCATATCCACTATTGTGTTGGGCGAGCCAACTGTACTTGAACTTCATATTTAACCCTAAACTATACGGACTTCAATCGACGCATAAAGTCTTCTCGCATAATAACACAGCGGTTAACGACGATCTGCCCAAACGGATCATTACGGGCGCCGTTAGGGTTAAGCCGGACGTACAGGAGTTTACGGAAAATGGAGTCATTTTTAGTGGTACTGTATATTTGTTATCAATAATTTTTACAATTGTATCATACATAACATTATCATTCTTAAAATATTGTTCACCCACTCATTTAATGACATTAAATTAAGTACCTATATACTTTATCATTACGGTATATGCTACATGTTTAGGTGAGTCTCGTGAGTACGAGTGCGATGTCGTGGTATTTGGCACCGGGTACGAATTGTCGTACCCATTTTTGTCTCAAGACATACTTCCCATAAATAACCCGGACTTTCGTCTATACAAACATTTGTTTATTCCGAACGGTAAACACTCGCATACATTGGCACTCATAGGCATCGTATCATCGGTGGGACCCTATCTACCCGTGTTTGAGCTCCAGTGCCGCTATTTTGCCCAATTGATGACCAATAAGATACAGTTGCCATCGGATAAGGAAATGTCGAAAGAAATTAATTGTCGAAAAGAGTGGGTTAAAAAATATTATCCAGGTTATGAAAAGTATGGTCGACAGGTACGGCATGTACAGTATATGGATGAGTTGGCTGAGTGTGTGGGTTGTAAACCAAAACTAATGAAGTATTTGTTCACTGATCCCAAACTCTGGTGGCACCTGTACTTTGGACCCTGCGTTCCCTATCATTACAGGTTAAATGGTAAGCATTTTATACTTGTTGTAGCGTTTTATCTCGACAAATATTAAAAGTATTGTCAATTATTTGTATCCAGGTCCTAATTGTTGGCCCGAAGCCAGAGAAACTATACTTACGGTCATGGACAGAATTAAAGCACCTTTTAAAAATGCTTGATACTAATCTGAAAAACTAAATTGGCGTAAATTTTTTAACGACATTTAAAGCATTGAAATTAAAGTTTTATTTTGTTTATGATAAACATATCGTGTTATGACAAATTTCTAAATAAAATAATATTAGCAAAATTTATAACAATAATATAGACACCACTGACTATAAATCCCATAAAAACCTCTGGTCGGCTAAAATGCCAGCCCCGGGCCAGCAGATTGCGTATCGATATGATGGGCTCAGTTATGGGACAGACATGGGATACGAGTCGTAAGTAGTGGGGAACGGCTTCTAAGGGCCAAATAGTTCCCGATATCATCATTAAAGACAATATTAAGGTCGCCATTAAAGCCTAAAGTAATTCACAATAAATAATGATGGTAAGTTTATTAATATTCTGTGAGACCTTGATCAAGCTTACCATAACCGACGCCCGATCTCCAATTAATGCGAGTAATAAGCCAATTGAGATGCCGACAAAATTTTGCATTAACAGCAAGATACATATTTCAATTAGCTTACCATTATGATTTATATTAAACAAAATAAATATAATCATAATAAGCATGGCTAACTGTCCGATACTAATTAAAACATTGACGGCGATATGTGCAATAAAATACTCGTCTGGTTTAACCCCGGCCACAAATATCCTTTCTAATTGATTATTTGACTTAGCGTTAATCAATAGAAACGCTGAAAGTACCATGGACAGTGTGAAAATAGTTGTTAATACTATGGGTGCGCCTAAAGTACTAAAATCTGAATACAAAGCTTGTAGATTGCCATAAATAACTTCGTTCACCTGTACGGGTGTGGCTAACTTGTAAAGGTTGGTTTTATTAAGCGAATGTCCTAGTTGTTGCAAAAATTTATTATATCCCATGATTAAGTATTTTCCGGAAAACGTAGTGATCATATGGTCTATTAAAATAATTATAAACCATACATTAAATTGATTCATTATTTGTTATATCAATATATAAGTTACTTGAGTTATCCATATATAAATGTATGAGGCTTTCCTCCACGTCCTCATTGGTGGCGTCAAACGCATCGGTCACTCGTGTCTCGAAAGCGTCGGAAAAGTTTTGTCTGAATTCAAGCGCCAAATAATTACGTCCATTGCGTACGGAATTGACGGCACTCTCGAGGTCCGGGTATTCATTCAATTTAATACGTTGGCCATCAATAGAGTCGATGAACATCCGGGACAGTTGTTGAGGTTGTTCATCGTTATTATATAAAGCAACTGGCATATTATTTAGCTCACCACCAATAATTAAGTTGTATCCTAAAGCATGGCTAACTGTCCGATACTAATTAAAACATTGACGGCGATATGTGCAATAAAATACTCGTCTGGTTTAACCCCGGCCACAAATATCCTTTCTAATTGATTATTTGACTTAGCGTTAATCAATAGAAACGCTGAAAGTACCATGGACAGTGTGAAAATAGTTGTTAATACTATGGGTGCGCCCAAAGTACTAAAATCTGAATACAAAGTTTCTAGATTACCATAAATAACTTCGTTCACCTGTACGGGTGTGGCTAACTTGTAGAGGTTGGTTTTATCAAGCGAATGTCCTAGTTGTTGCAAAAACTTATTATATCCCATGATTAAGTATTTTCCGGAAAACGTAGTGATCATATGGTCTATTAAAATAACCATAAACCATACATTAAATTGATTCATTATTTGTTATATCAATATATAAGTTACTTGAGTTATCCATATATAAGTGTATTAGGCTTTCCTCCACGTCCTCATTGGTGGCATCAAACTCATCGGTCACTCGTGTCTTGAAAGCGTAAGAAAAGTTTTGTCTGAATTCAAGCGCCAAATAATTACGTCCATTGCGTACGGAATTGACGGCACTCTCGAGGTCCTGGTATTCATTGTTAAATTATGCAACCGGTAGTTATCTCAGCTACTTGTAGGCCCTGTCAACAACTCCAACAAGTAGCAATAATATATTTCGTTGACCGTATAATAAATCGAGTGGTGGTTATTAATTCAACATAGGATTCAGACTCATAATGCTAATTATGTAATATGCCAAAATGAATAAGGGCTGGCGTTTTATAAATATCAAGTACTTCATTAGCATTGCTTTAACACGTCTGACATCTACTACACCCGTGTTAACACTGATTACAGTATTTGTTAAGCAATTGTTCATTGAATTCACATTTATTTTGCACATATCTTGACAACTATTTTGTATATCCGATAAATTATTATTTTTATAATTGTGTTTATGTTCCTGACACAACTTTAGAAACACCTCCTCGAGTGTTGAGCACTGGTATTCCGACATGAGTTGGTTGGGCGCCGACTGTTTCAATATAGTGCCGGAGTTCATGAACGCCACCTGAGCCGCACTCCGGGCCTCCTCTATATAATGAGTCGTTATTAACACTGTTTGGCCTAAAATTTATACAAAATATTAATTATA